TGTTGTCCTACAATGTAAGTACGCTCTTTGATACGTTTGTTCTAGGAATGGGAACAACGTGCGTTAGGGTTGTCGAGATACTATTATTTGTTGCTTTTGAAATTTGAATCCTTACGACTGTATGTTTCATCTACTACATTGTATGATACTTATCTACTTATACACATGTCTGTATTAATGAGAACTCTCTATACAGTTAAATAGTCAAACTATCACATTCAAAACCTAATTTTCATCCCTTCCGCTCATAATTTATAGAGAGAGATGCAATCAGCACACTGAGTACATTCATCATAACATACGTGATATTCTAACTCGGCTTCCTGTAATAATCCCTACTAGCTTCCGAGTGTCGTAATCAAATCCTGTCGGGGCGAGAGCCCTAATCGAGGCAGACCACGCTCGACCTCCGTCAAATCGGGCTAAGGAACACGACCTGAGTGTCACAGCAGCGCAGATAACTGCAGCCGACCTTACCCGACCTCATCCGACCTCAACCGACCTCCGCCGACCTACCGTCCCGCGTGGATTACAATAATTACTATACAATTTAAAGAAAAAAATCATACCTCGACTCAACACTCCTACTTTAATTGGAGGTTTCATTATCCGATACATTGGAGCGCACTTAAAGCAATTGATTGCGGGTTAACCGCTTTTAGATTGTTCAACAGAAAATTACGTCTTGTAACAGAATGTAAAATATTTCACTGGTATAAGTTTCATCGAACAAATCAATGAAGCTCGTAAATAATAAAGTCGCTTACATTTGGGCATACGCTTCTAAGCAATTGTCTTCTCGTTTTGCTACGAATTTATATTGTCAACGACAGGAGGCGTCGGCTCGCTTAGAGCGTTGGCCTCCCCGAAACATATTTCACTACATAAATCATAACTTTATTTCCTCTCGCTCAGATGCCGAGCGAGGTGTCTTTGAAATGGCTTTAAGAGTTCCCGCGCGGCTATACCGCAACAAAGGACTCCGAAATTCAATTAGGTGCAGATGGAACTAAAAGACTTATATTATTTCTAAATATTCAATTTGAAATGCACAACTCTATATTCGTGGTGTGGTGTTTTAGTGCATATTTTTTAATTTAATTCTGTCGTAAAACAAGTATTACAGTAGCAAATATTTTGCATTAAAACTAAACTCATATATAGGTAAATAATTGACAATGTACTCGTTAAGTGGGTTTAGTTATCGTTTATGAATATGCATTACATACATTAAAGTTACATTGTTTTATGATCACACATAAAATGTAACTTATATAGCGAGCTGCGTATGCGGCAGACAAAAGGCGGCTTACACTAAACGAAGAAGATTTACGTGGCGCCGGGGTACGCTTGTAAACAACGCGAGCCACCTACTAATTTGCGATCATTTTAGCGGTGTTTCCTGCCAATTAGCCGCTTTAAAACATCGCACCGCCAAACAAAGGGGGCTGGCTCATGAATTTATTGTTAGGTTACTGTCTTAAGTTATTTAAGTGTTCGTAGAACGTTATTCACGTGCGACGCCGCGCAGAATGCAGCTTCCTGCGACAATTTATCATGAATCTTTAATTAAACTTTAGCCGCGACTGTTCACAGTCTCATTGAGCTTCACAATAAATCCCTCGTATCGATTGTACATTATTAATTATTTGTCTCGGCTCCTTATTTTATAAGATGTTACTTTGATAATGTTTCTTGAGGTTGAACTGGAAGTCAGGATTGACAATATTTCTTTGAGTAACTTTTAGAATAGAAATCTTGGTCTGTGAATACTTAAACCTGCATGGGATTAATAATATATACCTACGTAACTGATTAAAACATAAATTATTGATTTATTTTTTTTAAGAAAATTGATTATAGCAGCATATATGTTTAGCCACTGACATAAAATTCGCACACGTAGTCCAAAATCTAGTTCAGAATATAGTGGGACATCCCTAGAGTATACTAGTTTCAATAGACAAATAGGTAGTATGTTATCCCGGTACGCGCAGCTGCACTTCTATTACACAAGGAGTATGAGCATATCTCCCCGACTAACCACCACAAAGAGTGCAGCTGAATGGTAATTTCTTACGTTACAAAGATTCTACCATGTATGTGTAATAAATGTGAGACAATGCTTTTGATATTATTCTTTGTCTTTTGTTTCAGAGAAGATTATTAGTATGTATTATTCTTTTAAGTAGAATGACGACACGTTGTTACTGCAAAGGCATACCTACCGTATTCAACGTTATATACATATTTCCATACTTCACACCTGTGCAGTTTTGTTCATCATTTTAATAAGAGATTTTTCATTAATTACACATTCGTTCGGTTATCCTAAAAAACTATGTCAAATCAAGTCCATTTTAGGCTCTTTGGAAGACTAAGGATTTGGATTTTCAAAACTCACGAGACCGCTGTTTTTTGCGATTCCGCGATTGCGATTATCGGCCGCAAACTTGGCGGTTGATTACCGCAAGACGGTCTGGCGGTTGAACAATTGATTCCCATTAAGTTCCATTGCGATCGCAGAGCGCGCGGCAAACGCCCGCTACCATTCGCAACTACCACAGGCGTAAAATGTGCCGTGAAAATTGCTTTGATTTTATTTCATACATATCTGTATTCTACAAAGGCTACGGGCCCGCAACCGCGGCGGGTGCATGATATAAAACTGTCCTGATATGTTTGACGCTTGCCAAGTGCGAAGGTTATAGGAAACCCATACAGAATATAGGTCCATAGTCCAGTAGTACACTGTCACGAGCTCCTGATGAATTCAATCTTTTCTAAGACATAAAAGTGCACAGACCCGCTTACCTCGGTTTGTGAAAACCTCTCTTAAAACCAAATTAAATGATGAAAGTTTCAAAGTTTCGTTCGTTTAATAATAAAATTACCTGTGTCAGTTTGCTGGTAGAATTCAATTAAGAACTTTTTAAGTACTTTTATATGCACTTGAAGGATATCTGGTTTAATTGATAGTTCATGTTGCTTTAAGAGTTTTAGGCTTACTTTGAAGTTATAGAGGAAAGGGAGGGATTTTGTTAAGAGTCGTTTTATTACACTATTGGGAATATTTATGTATGTGTGTGTTTGTGTGTCTGTGTAATAAGTGTTGCATTCACATGCCATGCCGAAAATATCAAAAAAATCTCTTATGATGCTATTTTTGATGCTCATGATTGAATATAAAAAATAAAGTCACATCGACATAATATGCATATTTACTTAAATAATTCCATAAATTACATATATTTACAACAATATCAACAAACATTTACGTCTAATATATATTTTCCTATGCGTAACAGATTAGCTATACATCATATAAATCTCTACACGAAGTCTATACATAAATGATTTCTACAAGTATTGCGTATAACTGTTTATAAATATATAATTATAATGTTCCCTATGACACGTAGACCCGTCAACTTACCCTTTCAGCCGAAAAATAAGACATTATTCATTAAAATTTACATTCATCATTAAGAGGTTAGTGACCTTGGTAAGTTGTAATAGTTAAAATAATAGTTGCCTGTTGTTAAACATGTATATAGATGCGCACAATATATAGGAATTGAAATAACACACAATATAGCAACAAATCAAATTAAAATATGGAAACAAACAAGAAGAATATACGGTAGAATACCAACGCATTATTTAGTTAACTCCTACGATAAATAAAACAGAAATAACACTAACATTTTCATACATTACGTTAAACAAATTGATTTGTATGTTTGCGAATACGTTCAACAAACATGGAGGGTGGTAAACATTAAAATCAGATGGAAGTATTCACAACGCATAACAAAATATGAATTGAAGTTCGTTCAGGCAATCGTTATTCTAAACGCGATCCAAAAGGCACTAGATTTTATTATTACAATAGATTTCAATTGATACGTTTTCGAAAGTCGTTGTAGTTGATTAAATGTGATTAATAAGCTGAATAAATAATGTATTTGTACACAACTAGAGTAAGACTTCTATTCGCTGGTGGAATATTATCATACAACAGGGATAATGACAACAAGCCAATTTCAATATTTAACGTTTCCATTCCAACAAAAACAATACATTTCAATATTCGAGTCTTGTATAGTTCATTAAATTAGCTAGAAAAATCTTTGAGAACGAGAGTACCGCTATAGTTATGTATAATTCATACTTGGAAACAATTTATTTGACTAAGTCATCATCCCTATTCTAGTTATACACTTAAACTTGGAATAAACATGTGGAAGTAGTGGCTTTCCATACAAATATTTACTCCGAGACGAAGAACAAGCAACTGCAGTATTTTGACAGAAATATATTAACTCTTATTTGTATACATAGAGACATACACATAAATAAATTGGGAAGGTACATTTAACTAATATGGGGCTCAAACATCACACCTATTCGTAATTTGTTCTACGTTAAATTTATTTGACATCGTTGTTAACTTTATTAAATACATGTATGTATGTGTATTTTTACCAAAAATGGAGGTAATTTAATTCTCGTCTTTAATTTATAACAATAACAGTTTCTCAAATAAGCAAATAACAGAATATTACATAATTCGTAATGATAAGCACAACCGGCTTGAGACTTACAAACCACTGAGAGTGTCTTAAAGCAGACTGAAAATTGAAATCATGCCCTCCCTGGAAATCCCTCGGGAACAAAGACAACCGATTATTTACTATTGCCAGGAGAACAATTAAACACGAATTTCATTAAAATTGAAGAATACCAAGCTATTATTAACTTTGTTAAAAATAAACCAGTGACAAGCTTTCAATTTTAAATCCCTAACATCCTACCTCGTATAATCACGTAAATCCATTCATAGATATATATTTTACGTCTTAAAACACAACGTTGACACATCACTATGAACTAATATAATTGCATATTCGTTAATGTACATAGCGCTTGAAATACTTGAGAAAGTAAATAGAAAGCGTCAATGAACAACAATGTCACAGGATCACAATATAAATTCATCATCGGCATATAAGGCTCTCTTCTCTCGCTGCGCAGACGCCGTGGGGCGGGGCGAGAAACAGCTTGCCGTTTGCGCATGCGCACAGTTGGTAAATGTTCTGGTGGTGTGGATCATGTGTGTGCGCGGACGGTGGCAGTGGCAACGCCGATTTTAACTTTGGCATGAATATACTGGGTGCATCTAGGCGAATCTGGAAGAAATGAGAAATAAGGTTTCGATTTTACAAAACTAAGTAGACTGGAAAAGTTCACACACACACATTCATCAATTTGACTTTTCCCTCATCTGACCTTTATCGGGCCTATTTAAATAGAGTCTTCTTAGAGAGTTACCACTACCATTCTTCTTTTAAAAATTCCTTTCGTTAATCAGGTAAAAAACATCTAAAAGAAGTCAAAACATAGCATAGCGCGTCAATGATTTGGTTGTCTTTCAACTTTGTTGGATTAATGTTTCATCTTAAAGCTTTAATTTACAAGGGGAACAGGTGCTCACCGAGCCGGCGACAGATCGGAGTCGGAAGGTAGTGAGGCAGCTGGCGCTGATGTCACCGGCGCGGGACTCCAGCACTATGTTCTGTGCCGCATGCATCTCCAGCGAACGCGTCGGTGACTCCAACCTGTTCGTGAAGGGCTACGTGTACTTTTTGTTTGATTTAAATAAGGTTTTGATTTTAGCGGATTGTCGTAAACATTTGTATTCCTTTTTTTTTAACGAAATTCGCAGTTTTTGAAGTCACCTAGTTTTCTTTAATATAATACTTTCCCCCACACTAGGATTTTCTCCTGTATCGTGGGTGGGTGGATGTTTACAAAGATACAAGTTCGCATACACATATTCAGATCATAGATCATAATTTTTTTAATACTCAAGTTATTTATTTCGTAACGGTTAGCTGACCTCAAAATAAACTACAAATTATCTAAAAATAATCTTTCACTGTAAACGCATGTCTTCCTTTTCCGACCGTTTGTACTTTTATTTCAGTCTATAAATATTTATCATGGCATATGTTACATTAATTGTTCATCACTTTATTGGAAACTCGGAAAATCTGTAATTAAATAAACAGCAATGCTCCAATAAATTTTGCGAAACATGTGGTAAAGCCATGCTTTCGATCGGACAACAAACTTCAGTAGGTGCGTTTGACATAACTGTATGTTCAAACTAACGAGTTCTAACTTCCTCTGCGACGAGGACAAAGCTCGTAAATTTGGTAAAGTACAAACACACAAATATACTTACACCAATGGTTTTGAAGGGGGGGCTTTGACTAGGGGTGTCTGCGCGGCGGCTTGTATGGTGACACCGGCAGGGCTGACCACCGTCAGTGTTTCAGCCCCGATTGTGACCGAGTCCTGCCCCGCGCCAAGTAACAACGCTCCCCGGGCGTCCCGCACTTCTAACCGACCAACGTTCACTTCGAAACGATCGTGGCCTAGAAAGTCTCTCAGTATTTAGAATACACATCACTGATGAGCGCTTTAAAAAATCGTTTACACGTCTGCTCACATTAAAAACAAAGGCTTAGCACTTACCTAGATATAATCTACTCTGTAACAATCCGTGCGAGTCTCTAGTAGAAACAGTAAAATTTCGAGAAGCTTCCATGTAAATTGGATACCCTCGACGTGACTTGATGGTAGACGCAAACAGAGAATCCAACATTAGAGCTTGCCCTAACAGTTGTAATCCCCCAGGTACTATACGGAGTTGACCCATTCCTTCCTAAAAGAGAGTAAAGATTAATAAAAAAGATAAATATAACAACAGTAAGTATAGAATTTAATAATCGTGGTGTCTTACCGAATTAAAATCCAAGACTTTAAGTACCCATAACGTCAGTGCGAGATTGATGACCATCATCAACATAAGAGTCATGACCAGTATGTATAGACATTTCTTCCGCCAGCCGTAAATGCCTACTTTGAACTGACTGTTATAGCTATTCCTGATGGAGTCAGCCTTTGTGTCTCTACTGGTATTGTTGTGCAGTATTGGCTCCGGAGTGATCTTGTCAGCGTACGGTATTCTGCAAGAAAGATCATTATGCTTTAAACAATGCACTATTCAGTTGGAAAATCACAATATCTGTATCGGATTGATAGCTGCTTTACAATGTTCTGTGGAAAAAAATTACTAAGTGCTTAACTTTGCTTATTGGAGGTTATTTTTAGGTCGTACAAATGTTAAATGGACGTCGATTTAACATCATCATAAGTTTTATTTATAGAACTAAACTAATTTTGGTAGATACACCTAACTTTATAATTTAATATAAATTAACAGAGTAAAATATGTGTGTCTCGAGTTAGTCCGAGTTAGTTTGTAGTCATAATAATGTTGTTTCAAGTTAAACAAGTGGGACATAAAAGAATGCTGCGATAAGAGTGAGCATAAATGTCTAGTTAAAATTAGTATTTATAGAATTTTTTTTTCGAATGGGGGAAAATCATCGAATGACTGCTCCCGCCTTTGTGAGGCAGGAGGGAGTGTCAGACTCTTACTGCCTAAAAACCACCCCGTTCCTTCTCCTGCACATCGAGCCGAAGCCCCGGTAACCCGTTAGGTTCTCCGCGACATTTATAGGCATTAAATACAATTTTAGGTCTGGCCAAGAAGAATACTAGAGAATATTTTTTAAATATTGAGTATGAGGGTGAAATTGTACATGGTGTTAGAAGAGGCCTACTTTCCAGATCAACGTTATTTTTTTAAATATGCCTTAAGTAGGGAAACCTCTGCTTCCTCCATGGAAAACAAAACACGACGCCATATCAAACTAAATAAATATAAATCAATCACAGTAAAAACCCAACCAGTTACAAACAATATTTAAAGCAAAAGAAGATTATTAAATGTTATTTAACACACATCGTCATAAAACTGGCTTCATTCGTGCAGTTTTACATTCCAATTTGGGGTAGTTTGTAGGGCGGGGGTGCGGGGGAACGAAATATGCTCGACAACACGACTTCCACGCGTATTGGTACCATTAAAAACGTCTGTTTTTACTTCGACAGCGAATAAAATGCAGTTTTATTTTTAAAATCATTTTATTGTTTTTTAAAACAAGCCTTTTATAGGCCAGGAATAAATATGTACTCGTACTTTTACGGTGATCATAAATTCTTAATTACTATTTTCAAAATGGTGAAACGTGGTTTATTACTGGAAGTTTATTATTATGTAAATGTTGTAAGTGCATTGTGTTAGGAAACCACTGCTTGAAACTATGCATTTTATTCATTCCAACAATTTGCTTGAATTCACGTAGGTGCAAGGGGCAATTAGGTGATGACACCAGGCTCTAAGTTCGATTAACCATTAACTACTGAACTAATTGTGCATTTTCCGGAATGTTTGGACTCCTAAAAAACATGTCCTTCCACAAAAAAAAACAAAAATCGATTTATAAAACAGGTTTTTATTACTATTTTATGTGATGTACAATGAAGAATTTGTATTGTATTGCATAGTTGACTTTTCATAATAGAATGTTAAAAAAGCCAAGTGGCTTGTATCAGATGTCTGCTAATGGCCTGGCACTTTCTGTAACGTCGTTGTTCGTCGGCGTAGATTATATTTTGTTTCACTCTTATAGCCGACTACATGACCTTGTATGCACGTATAGGAAAATGTACTACTAATCGATAAAAGGATAATAAAATAGTAAAATAGAGTGACTAATCAGAATAGAAAAAAAAGGTGTTTACTCCAGTATCACGGACAAAATGTAAGAGTTATTTGTTGTGCTAAACTGTTTTTTTAAAATAATTTATTTATTTTCAACAACTTTTAAAACGAGACTTATTATATACTTTATTGTATTTCATGTTAACGTACTTACACTTGTAAATATCAGTTCAGGCCAACGTTATATTCTAAGAGAAAATAATAAAATCCTCTTTACCAATTGACTTAAAACAACGTCATTTGCAACTGCCAATGCCATACAACGGGAAAACAAAAGAATGCAAAGCCCAGTATTCCAGTCCAATTTTTAACATCAAACTAAACTAGCAACATGGGCGGAATTTCAAATGATGGTTGAAAAAATTTAATAGAGATTGTCCCCAATATTCAGTGTCACACGAAACATATTTCTATCCGACGCATATGAAAATAGTCCATCGTACAAATATTCGTGAAACTGGCCACCGTTAGCGAGCAAGCGTCATAAATTTCCAAGGATTCGGGGACGACAGGGCATTGCACACTGAAAAATTCTAGTAAGCTCCCTCAGGATGTAAGGGATATATTTACAAGTGCATCACAGGAAGGAGAGGAGAGGAATTACCCTCCTGTGTCTCGTCTAGACCGGCGACAACCATGTCCTATGTATTATGGTTTTATTTTACTTTCTTTGAGCCAAATCATAACTAAATGTTTTGCATTTTTGTTAAGGTATGGGAAATCAGAAACTAATCCATACAGAATAAATAATATTTATGTATTTACTTTACAAATAGATTGCATAAAAATTCATTGATTTCTTTAATAATAGCCAATTGAGTGACTAAGTGAAATGATCTATGTAGTTTTGTAACGAACACGGGACAATCTCTTCGACACAGCGGATCCTGGCGAAGAGCCAAGAAAAATCTTAAAAGAAGATATAATATTACAAAGTAAAATAATAAACTAAACTCTTTCTTACAGAAATATGTAGTTTAAGCAAAGACTAAATGTTAGGTGAAACTAAAAGATTCTGTTGAGTTCGTCCTGGTAACGTAAAATATAGCAGCACTAAAAGTTCGTTCTCATTACTTTAATTTTATTTACAAAAACACTAAGGGCCGAGTAAAAATCATCAGTTACATTTGATAGTTTTTAGTATGGAAGAATTGTCAAATATTCAACATTATTCTTCAGTTAAAATTTATCTGCCGTTGGAAAAACCGGCCTTTAATGTACCATGTCAAAGAAACATACCTAGTGTTAAATTGAGAACGATCTAAACAATTTTTCCTTTCTTATAATACACAATTCTTTGAAATAATAATTTTAGGCCTGTGGTAGCATTTCTATCAGTACTCAGTGACAATAGCTATTTATAATGCGGAATGTACTTATCAGAAAATGCATTCTGAGCGCAAACTTCAGCGAGTTGACACGCAGAGTGCTCTGACCGCAAGGGATTCCAATGTTGGCAATCTTCTTGTATACACCTACTCATGTTGTTAATTTTGTTTGTTTGTGTCGTGTCGCAACGTTGACAACATTATACTTAGTTGGTTAACGGCCTGCTTTGAATGTGAATAGTTGCTACCGTGGGGAGGTAATTTTGAAATACATAGTTAATATGTAAGTAAGTATAAATGTAACATTATCTGCTACTTTTCACAATCACAATTCAGTCAAATTTTTACAACAGAAAGTTGTGAACATTAAAGGCTTATTGTATGGGAATTACATTTTTAATTGATAGGTATGTGTACAGATATCTGAGTTTTGTGTCATACAATTTCCAGATTCCAATTCACACATAACATAACAGTCTATCCCAAAAACACAACACAAAATTCTACATTTACGTTGTGTATATTTATCTAGTGCGCATTGTGTTATTCTAGACTACCTATAGAGCAGAACAAGTTCGTTATTTATATGAAAGTACTGAAAGCTCAAGAAAACTTTTTTAAATAATTGAATGAAGAATTCGTTTTTTAATCTACAACTCCACTTAAAAAACTTGTTAAAGTAAGTGTCATTTCTGAAAACATATCATTCGTTCAGCTATAATATTCACAGATATTTCCATCGCACGGAATCTTTGAAGCGAGTGCCTTCAGGATTTAGGATAAGCCTGATACAATGAGACTCATGAAGCTCCAAAATGTACATTCATTCAGTCGCCTGCCAAACTAAGGCGACTGTGCGTACTAAAGCATCTAAAGCCTACATTTCCCACTACACTATACTTAAATTCAGGTATATTTACAAGGATTCTGAATTTTTTTAAACAAATCTATACTTATAATAAATCTGTAGAGAGGTCAATTCTGTACATAAAATATATTTAAAAAATAACTATCAAGGGGTGGTTAGGGATCGCTACTGATGCCAAAAATGCAATCAGTAAAATTTTTTTCTGTCTGTCTGTCTGTCTGTATGTTCGTTATGTAAACAAAAACTACTCGATGGATTTTAACGAAATTTGGCACAATTATTCTTCATACTCTTGGGCAGGTTATAGTATACTTTTCATTACGCTACGATCAATAGGAGCTGAGCAGTGAAGGGAAATATTGGGAAAACGGGAGAAGTTACTCCATTTTTTAAGCTTGCGTCGCGTGTGCAGGCTTATGGGTTAAAGCTGCATAGAAATCATGTATGACGGAAATATTCTCCTTAAAATTATATAAAAAATATTCCTCGACAGCATATGTCTATCTTTTATGGTTGACTCACAATAACACGTGAAACTCCCGATAGCTTAGCAATTCGGTGATTTCTGATTGTATTTGTCTACTCTAACGTTTACAATACTCATTCATAAACTTTACGCTGTAACTGAAAGGCCAATGGTTGAAATTAGCTTGACTCGATATTATAAATGAAAATGTGTGAGTTTATGTGTATGTTTGTTACTCAGTCATATTAAAACGACTGAAGGAATCGGAATGAAATTCGGAACAGAGGTAGATTATGGTCTGAAGAAATACATAGGCATTTTATCCCTGGGAACGCGGGCGAAGCCGCTGGCAGAAGCTAGTAACTAATAAAACTATGTAACATGTCGATTAAGTTAATATAATAACCTCGGTCTTGACTAGAAAAAGTACATCTACATTTTTTCGGATTAATCACTAAATTATTTGACTAGGAACTCGACTAGTTTCAAGCCATGATAGAGGCTCATATTCATGAGCAGCATTCCGCGACTACTACTGAGTAGCGTGGCTTGAAACTAACTTCTCGTCAAATAATTACGTGAGTAAGCCGAAAACAATAATAATTAATTTAGTATATATGTATATCTAAGTTGTATCCAACCTTCTTTCTGGTTCTGTGAATAAAGTTTTTTGT